TGTATCCCATACTATCATTATTTTTCCATGGTCCCATCCAACGGAATCCTAGAATTGGTAGTTCAGGAAGAATGAATTCTCAGACAAAGAATTCAAATGGCTCACAAACTACAGAGCCCAGGATTTCATAAGACAGAATCATGGTAGATAAGAACAACACCTCCATAACTGAGTAGTGTAAATGGGCTTCTGGTCTTTATATGCCCAAAAGGACCTCCATGACTCTTTGGTTGTTGTGGTCCACAGGGTGTTATGAGCACGATAGATGAACAAAGCCTTACACTCATCATTAACGTCGTCATTACCTATACCATCTAGTGTAAATTATTTCGTGTTAACCTATAATGGTAACTTATAATGAAAGATTGAAGTCTCTCATACAGTGGAGATTTGCTTCAGCACAGATGGCTGGAGTGTCTACAGATCAACAAAAAGTTGATATCTCTAGATTACATACATTTCATGCAGGAGAAAGAAATTTTTTAGTTTAAGTCTAATTCCTTAAACAGTCATACCATTGTAACTACATACAAATTCAGCTTTAAAAATATTATTTTGGAACTTGAGGCTTGGCTGATGTTAAATGACCTGAACGTATTGCTAATATTTTCCTTTTAATAAACAATGTATCATTCCTCAGGCCTAACGGGCATTCATTCAGATATTAACCACACTTGGCTGTTAAAAGAATACATTGTGCCCTTGAATGCTAATCAACTGTTACCCATAATCTGGAAGTAATTACAGCCCTTATAAATGATATTAATGTTATAGCAACAGCACTGTAAATGTGCTTTTTAAAAAAGCACACAATGAATGATCACAACCATTCTAAACACAGGACTTGTACAGCAGGACTAACATTCAGACTACTGGAGGTAGTTTTATTCCTTGAAGCTCCAAATAGGGGGTTTTTTTGGTAGTTTTAATTTGGATGATTTTGTGATATCACAGGTATGTTATTTATGGTAGTTCAAGCAGAATTCTAACCTCATTACCGGGGATCTATCCTCCTTCTTCTATCACCCTAAAGACAAATGTGATGTGGCGGCAAAAAAAGCCAATGGGATTTTGGCCCGCATCAATAGGAGCATAGTGTCTAGATCTAGGGAAGTAATGCTACCCCTCTATTCTGCATTGGTTAGACCACACCTGGAATATTGTGTCCAGTTCTGGGCACCACAATTGAAGACAGATATTGACAAGCTGGAATGTGTCCAGAGGAGGGCGGCTAAAATGATCAAGGGTCTGGAGAACAAGCCCTATGAGGAGTGGCTTAAGGAGCTGGACATATTTGTGCATTTAAGTAATCAGATCTAAGTCACCAAACAGTAATTGTTGAATGTTTTATAATGTTGAATGTTTTATATTGTGAAATGCTATTTCAAATTGTAAGTCGCTCGGAGCACCTTGGTGGAGAGCGACTAATTAAGAAATAAAGTGATGATGATGGTGACCACTTTAAGCCTGAAGAAGAGAAGGCTGAGAGGAGATATGATAGCCATGTATAAATATGTGAGAGGAAGCCACAGGGAGGAGGGAGCAAGCTTGTTTTCTGCTTCCCTGCAGACTAGGATGCGGAACAATGGCTTCAAACTACAAGAGAGGAGATTCCATCTGAACATGAGGAAGAACTTCCTGACTGTGAGAGCCGTTCAGCAGTGGAACTCTCTGCCCCGGAGTGTGGAGGCTCCTTCTTTGGAAGCTTTTAAACAGAGGCTGGATGGCCATCCTGCTTCTTGGCAGGGGGTTGGACTGGATGGCCCATGAGGTCTCTTCCAACTCTATGATTGTATGATTCTATGTATAAATATGTGAGAGGAGGTCACAGGGAGGAGGGAGCAAGCTTGTTTTCTGCTTCCCTGGAGACTAGGATGCGGAACAATGGCTTCAAACTACAAGAGAGGAGATTCCATATGAACATGAGGAAGAACTTCCTGACTGTAAAGAGAGCCGTTCAGCAGTGGAACCCTCTGCCATGGAGTGTGGTGGAGGCTCCTTCTTTGGAAGCTTTTAAACAGAGGCTGGATGGCCATCTGTCAGGGGAGATTATATGTAATATTCCTGCTTCTTGGCAGAATGGGGTTGGACTGGATGGCCCATGAGGTGTCTTCCAACTCTATGATTGTATGATTCTATCTTATATAGGCTGTAAAGTCAGGATGGAAAAAGTAATTTGTTTCACTCTGAGAACAGTTTAAAAAATGCCCTCATCATCCAGCAACCTGTGATGTGCCCAGTATAAATGATGCTAAAAACAGCCTTTTTATTACGCTCCCCCCGCCCCACCGCATTTCATACCATGTTTAAGCAGACTTACTCTTGGATGCATTCATGCTGCGAGTCCTGCTACCCCATTTTGCATCACTAATGTGGGGAAAGCCATAATAGAAGGAACAAAGGGCAAACTGTGCCCACTGGGTGATTAAAACAAGTATGTTTGACCTCTGACTTTATCATGTTGAGACAGTTTGGCACTGGTTTTAGGTGATTAACCTCACTGGAGGTTAACTCCATTTACAGTGGAGTCCTGCTACCCCATTTTGCATCACTAATGTGGGGAAAGCCATAATAGAAGGAACAAAGAGCAAACTGTACCTATCTACTCAATCGTTTGTCCTGCTAAATCCATGGGGCTTGTTCTCAGGAAAGTGTGTGTAGTATTGCAGCCATGATTGCCACACTGACAATACACATTGAGCGTCCTAGTGTCATTAATACTGTTTTGGGAAATGACCATTTAAGGCATGCTTCAGTCATTTATTTTTGAAAAAAAATATGTACCATAAACGAGTTGTTGTAGGTTTTCCGGGCTATATGGCCATGTTCTAGAGGCATTCTCTCCTGACGTTTCGCCTGTATCTATGGCAAGCATCCTCAGAGGTAGTGAGGTCTGTTGGAACTAGTAAAATGGGTTTATATATCTGTGGAAAGACCAGGGTGGGACAAAGGACTCTTGTCTGCTGGAGCTAGGTGTGAATGTTTCAACTGACCACCTTGATTAGCATTTAATGGCTTGGAAGTGCTTGGGGGAAACCATGAAAATGAACAAAATCTGGCTACCAGTATTAAAAAACTCAAAAGTTACAACAGCAAAACAACAGAGAGTAAACAATCATCATCATCATCATCATCATCATCATCATTTAATAACTTATTAATCGCCCTCCACCCAAGAATTCTCCAGGCGATTTACAGCTATATTATAAAAGATAAAATACATACATACAAAAATTAAAAATCAACAGAGATTGAATGCTCTAGTAAAAAGCCAGGTCTTAAGTGTGAGAGTAAAAGGCCCTAAGTCACGCATGGCTCTCATGTAGGGCGGCAAGGAATTCCACAAGGCAGGGGCAGAAATAGAAAAAGCCCTGCGTCTGGTCCTTTGACTGTGTGGATCATAATAAATTGTGGCAAGTTCTTGGTGGGATGGGCAGACCAAGCCACCTTGTCTCTCTCCTGAGGAATCTGTACAAGGACCAAGTAGCAACAGTCAGAACTGACCACGGAACAACAGACTGGTTCAAGATTGGGAAAGGCGTACGGCAAGGCTGCATACTCTCACCCAACCTTTTTAACTGTATGCAGAACACATCATGCGATGTGCGGGGCTTGATGAATGCAAAGCTGGGGTGAAAATTGCTGGAAGAAACATTAACAATCTCAGATATGCAGATGACACCACTCTGATGGCCGAAAGCGAGGAGGAGCTGAGGAGCCTTCTAATCAAGGTGAAAGAAGAAAGCGCAAAAGCTGGGTTGCAGCTAAACATCAAAAAAACCAAGATTATGGCAACTAGAATGATTGACAACTGGAAAATAGAGGGAGAAAATGTGGAGGCCGTGACAGACTTTGTATTTCTAGGTGCAAAGATTACTGCAGATGCAGACTGTGGCCAGGAAATCAGAAGACGCTTACTTCTTGGGAGGAGAGCAATGTCCAATCTCGATAAAATAGTAAAGAGTAGAGACATCACACTGGCAACAAAGATCCGCATAGTCAAAGCCATGGTATTCCCTGTAGTAACCTACGGATGTGAGAGCTGGACCTTAGGGAAGGCTGAGCGAAGGAAGATCGATGCTTTTGAGCTGTGGTGTTGGAGGAAAGTGCTGAGAGTGCCTTGGACTGCGAGAAGATCCAACCAGTCCATCCTCCAGGAAATAAAGCCCGACTGCTCACTGGAGGGAAGGATACTACAGACAAAGTTGAAGTACTTTGGCCACATCATAAGGAGACAGGAAAGCCTAGAGAAGACAATTATGCTGGGGAAAGTGGAAGGCAAAAGGAAGAGGGGCCGACCAAGGGCAAGATGGATGGATGGCATCCTTGAAGTGACTGGACTGACCTTGAAGGAGCTGGGGGTGGTGACGGCCGACAGGGAGCTCTGGCGTGCGCTGGTCCATGAGGTCACGAAGAGTCGGAGACGACTGAACGAATGAACAACAACAACTGGTCCCTTCCAAGTGCACTTCTCTAGGACCCGGTATATGGAGTAAGTCACGTTGGGCTGGTCGTTGCGACCTCCAATGATGAGAGAAGGAGAGGCGGTCCCTAAGGTATGATGCACCCTGGCCGTAAAGAGTTTTAAAGGTCAGAACTAGCATCTTATACAGGCCAATCAGGCACATCAAATCACCTCTCAAAGAAAGATTCCTCCAGGCACTTCCAAGCCATTAAATGCTAATCAAGGTGGTCAGTTGAAACATTCACACCTAGCTCCAGCAGACAAGAGTCCTTTGTCCCACCCTGGTCATTCCACAGATATATAAACCCTTTTTCTTAGTTCCAACAGACCTCACTACCTCTGAGGATGCTTGCCATAGATGCAGGCGAAACGTCAGGAGAGAATGCCTCTAGAACATGGCCATATAGCCCGAAAAAACCTACAACAACCCAGTGATTCCGGCCATGAAAGCCTTCGACAATACATTCCATATTATATATTACAGTGGTTCTTAACCATTTGCAACCTTTTGGGAATCTAAAGAAGGCTGCAGACCTTTTCTTCACCTTATATACAATATTTAAAGTAACAGGAAATAAATCTGTTTTCAAAATGTTGTATTTGCACCCAGTTCACAGATCCTTTGAAGCCCTTCTAGGGATCTGTCGTTCACAGGTTAAGAACCCCTGAAATACAGTTATCAAAATTGAAGATATGTCTGTATATATTGCTCTGGTTCACACTCCCTCCTAACCCAAAAATCTTATTTTTACTTCCCATCTTGCATACTTCCAAGCTGGAGAGTCGGTGCATCACATGAGAATCTGGGTTAAGGCAAATGATCTGGTTCACAGAGTTATAATTAAGGGTCTATCTGGTGTCAGAGGGCACTTTCACATAATGAAAAGTCTTTGGATTTGGTATTTCCTTTTTTATCTTCAGCTTAGACAGGTTATGTTTTACCATCTTAACAAAAGCAAAACAAATCTTTGATCAGGTTTGTCTTATTAATGTTTTTTTTCCCTATACTCTCAGTAGGAAAACAAAACAAAACAAACACTCCCTTGAGGGGTACAAAAATAAAGGAGGGGATGATGTGCCAAGACAAAACCTTATGATCCAGGCAACTGATTCCTTCGGTTCCGACTTTTCCTGCTGTTGATGAGGGCCTTCAACTTGCTGTAATCTCCTCGCATCTTCTGGGAGTCTTCAGCCTGGTGTCCCAGCTGCCTTGTGTCTTTGCAGTATTGATTAATCAGTTGCAGTTCTGAATGGCTGATAGATCCAACCAAGTCCTTGGGATGAAACTGCAAAGCCTGGAGTGAGCTAGCCCAGGTCCATGGGGACCACTTTTCAGTCATGAAGGCCACCACGTCTGAATCCAACACCTTGAAGTTCACCTTTGCTATTGTTTGCTTGAAATTATTTTCTGTTGCAATGCAATGGTAGAGTCCTCGGTCAGCCTCCTGGACAGAGCGAATTAAGAGCCCTTGCTCAGTTGCTATGATTCTTTCATTAAGCTTGACCTGCAAGCAACACAGACAAGATTATATGGTTTCTAACACTGAATATGTGAAGATGAGAAAAAAATAGCATTGTTTTGTTTTCACAGAGAAATAGACTCTGAGCAGGATGATTTACTTTCACCAGCCACAAACATCTACTTTAGAATATACAGAACAACCCCTTTACTTACTTACTTACTTACTTACTTACTTACTTACTTACTTACTTACTTACTTACTTAGGCGATCCCTCGTTGGATAAGATGGTCTTCCATTATGGGTTTCCTTGTGGGTCCGTATGTGGCTGTGGAGCCCTATTCTTGCTCTGCATCTTCTTCCGCAGTGAGGGCATTGGTTTCCAGGTGGAAGGCGGTCCCGGTTGGGGTTGGCTTGACGCGCCTTCCTCCTGGCACGTTTCTCTCTTTCACCCTCCACTCGTGCCTCCTCGAATTCTGCAGCACTGCTGGTCACAGCTAACCTCCAGCTGGAGTGCTCAAGGGCCAGGGCTTCCCAGTTCTCAGTGTCTATGCCAGAGTTTTTAAGGTTGGCTTTGAGCCCATCTTTAAATCTCTTTTCCTGTCCACCAACGTTCCGTTTTCCGTTCTTAAGTTCAGAGTAGAGCAACTGCTTTGGGAGACGGTGGTCAGGCATCCGGACAACGTGGCCGGCCCAGCGGAGTTGATGTTGGAGGACCATCGCTTCAATGCTGGTGGTCTTTGCTTCTTCCAGCACACTGACGTTTGTCCGCTTGTCTTCCCAGGAGATTTGCAGGATTTTCCGGAGGCCGCGCTGATGGAATCATTCCTGCCTGTAGACAGTCCACGTTTCACAGGCATATAGCAGGGTTGGGAGGACAATAGCTTTATAGACAAGCACCTTGGTATCCCTACGGATGTCCCGGTCCTCAAACACTCTCTGCTTCATTCGGGAAAATGCTGCACTCGCAGAGCTCAGGCGGTGTTGTATTTCGGTGTCGATGTTGACTTTGGTGGAGAGGTGGCTGCCAAGGTAGCGGAAATGGTCAACATTTTCTAATGTTACACCATTAAGCTGTATCTCTGGCATTGGAGAGGGATTGGCTGGTGACTGCTGGAACAGCACTTTGGTTTTCTCGATGTTCAGTGACAGGCCAAGCTTCGTGTATGCTTCTGCGAAGGTGTTTAGAGTGGCTTGTAGATCTTCTTCTGTATGTGCACAGATGACATTGTCATCAGCATACTGGAGTTCTATAACAGATGTTGTTGTAACTTTGGTTTTGGCTTTCAGTCTGCTGAGGTTAAACAACTTGCCAACCCCTTTATCTACAGATTCAATATTCACAGTTTCACTTACCCACACTCCAAAAAAGTATTCTTCCTTCCCTGGGATATGTTTATGGGCTTAAATATGAGTATAGGAAGAAACTTGATAAATATACAACTTTCTGCTATTCAGATCTAGTTCCCAGTATTAAGAGGTGTTCCATGCAGAAGAACAGCCTGGGGTATGTAAACATAAATAATTTCTAGTTTTATTCCACTTAAGGAAGGCTGGCTCTGCATAAATAATTATACTGTATTTAAGAGAGCTGAAACTTGATAGCCTTAGAGAAGACAGCAATGGAAAATGTGATTATACTACGGTCAGGAACATTCTTATTGCTGTGATTATTTTTAGTTCAGACTAAATCCTTGCTTACAAAAGCTTTCCACATAATATTCCCTCCTTCCTTCTCAAATGTATCTCTTTTGCTGTTCTTCTGAATATTTGAAGTACAGAAGACACTGCTATTATTACAATATCCCTGTGGCAAGAAGAAGGTGCAATTCAAAATTAAGGAAGAAAAAACTGTGGGTTCCCATGAAAATCTGCAGATGAAAACAGAGACACATCTCTTCTCCTACAGCCCAGTAACACTGAAGTGTCCTTGAACGTTATCTAATAGCCTGGCCATCCACAGACATAAAAAAAACCCTTTAGCTTTCATCAGTAGTCCAGTAAATAGTGGGAGTATTCCATCTCCAGATGTTCTTATGTTATACTTGAAATAATTATGTATGGACCATAGGAACTGTTTTGTTATGTATTTATGAACTGACTTTTTCTATGATTTTCTATAACATTAAAATAATATATTAATATATTAATATATTTATTTATTTATTTATTTATTTATGTATTTACAGTATTTATATTCCGCCCTTCTCACCCCGCAGGGGACTCAGGGCGGATTACAATGTACACGTATATGGCAAACATTCAATACCAATTTGACATACAACGAATACAGACATACACAGAGACTATTTAACTTTTTCTGGCCGCCAGGGGAGCTGTCGCTTTCATCGTCCATCTGCGACACTGATGAAGTACTTCCGCATTCCCCGCTTGCTTTTGCTGGAGTATTTTTATGGCCTCATAAATTACTTAATTTAGCCTCCCCACACAAGGTGGTACTTAATTTTCCTACTTGACAGATGCAACTGTCTTTCGGGTTGCAAAGGTTGACAACAGGCTACACAATTGGTTGGAAGCCCACTCCAACCCGGGCTGGCTTCGAACTCATTACCTTTTGGTCAGAGTGATTTTAATGCAGCTGACACTCAGCCAGCTGCGCCACAATCCCGGTGCGCTTTACGTATTTGCTTTACATATCTATCTATTGTGTCTCTGGTTTCTTCTGCAATCTAAAAGTAATGGCCAGAACCTGTATCAGCTTATTCTTAGCTATACCTAACTTTTAGGTTTCTGCGATCAATGAAAAAAATGTTTCAGTGCTCATTAATAAAATAGGGAGAAGGGGGAAGGATCATTTCTAAGTGTTTCTAAAATATCTCTAGGAGTCTGTATCATAATTAAGCTGGAATGTGTCCAGAGGAGGGCGACTAAAATGATCAAGGGTCTGGAGAACAAGCCCTATGAGGAGCGGCTTAAGGAGCTGGGCATGTTTAGCCTGAAAAGAGAAGGCTGAGAGGAGATATGATAGCCATGTATAAATATGTGAGAGGAAGCCACAGGAGGAGGGAGCAAGCTTGTTTTCTGCTTCCCTGGAGACTAGGACGCGGAACAATGGCTTCAAACTACAAGAGAGGAGATTCCATCTGAACATGAGGAAGAACTTCCTGACTGTGAGAGCCGTTCAGCAGTGGAACTCTCTGCCCCAGAGTGTGGTGGAGGCTCCTTCTTTGGAAGCTTTTAAACAGAGGCTGGATGGCCATCTGTTTGAATGCAATATTCCTGCTTCTTGGCAGGGGGTTGGACTGGATGGCCCATGAGGTCTCTTCCAACTCTTTGATTCTATGATTCTATGCTGTCAGAGGGGCTTTTTCCTTGCTCGGATATCCAGCCAGGCATCCCTCCGTCCTGTCTACCTTGCCCCCCTTGCTGCCCCATTTGGGGAAGGAGTGGGGCTTCTCACTCAACATTGGGCCCATCCTCCTCAGGGCCCTTTGGGGGAACCAAACCCAGCCCTTTTGGGGGGAGAAGCGGCGCCTACAATGGACCTGGGGCCACTTAAAAGACTTACATAACTAATCCAAAAATCATAGGTCAGTGTCTTGAATATTATGTTTTTTTATGTGGGTGCCCCTCATGTTTTTCAGTATCACTTTATATATACAAATCTTACAAAATAGATAAGATAAATGACTTGCAAACAAGGTTTTACACACCCCTATTAACTATACTACAGGAGCCCCCGGTGGCGCAGTGGGTTAAACCCCTGTGCCTGCAGGACTGAAAATTGACAGGTCACAGGTTCAAATCCGGGGAGAGGCGGATGAGCTCCCTCTATCAGCTCCAGCTCCTCATGCGGGGACATGAGAGAAGCCTTCCACAAGGATGATAAAAACATGAACTCATCCAGGCATCCCTTGGGCAACGTCCTTGCAGACGGCCAATTCTCTCACACCAGAAGCGACTTGCAGTTTCTCAAGTAAAAAACATTGTGGATCTGGTGACTTATGATTGTGGCAATAGTATGAAAATCATAACTAAACAGCAATTGTGAATACAAAACAGTTTATTGTTCATGTGTATATATGACTTGCAATGAATGTAAAGGGTTCCTTTTTTTAAATAGAATGTAACTCAAGTCAAGTCATCATGAGGAGACAGCAAAGCTTAGAGAAGACAATTATGCTGGGGAAAGTGGAAGGTAAAAGGAAGAGGGGACGACCAAGGGCAAGATGGATGGATGGCATCCTTGAAGTGACTGGACTGACCTTGAAGGAGCTGGGGGTGGTGATGGCTGACAGGGAGCTCTGCCTTGGGCTGGTCCATGAGGTCACGAAGAGTTGGAGACGACTGAACGAATGAACAACAACAACAACAAGTCTTGGCAATGCCTGATGAAAGAGGTGCCTTGTCACCTTTTGAATTTTGGAGGTGCAAAATGATAATTTTATAGGAAAATGAAAAGCCAAGGAGTTTCTTTTCAATCCCAACTGTGACTCAAACTATATTTAGCTAGTTAAAAATATCTTTAGTCTTAGCCACTGATAAGAGTTTATAGTGCTGCATGCTATTTTTCATGCTATACTATCATGTAAGGTACAACTCTAAAGATCATATACCATATAAGAATTTGACTGATCTCTCATGATTAGATTTCTGACTGAATGCATGCTTTTGATTCTTTAATGTTGTTTTCTAAGATTACTCACTTCTTTTCTTCTGTCATTGTCCTTCTGTAACAGCCATTTAACTGAAGCCTGTGGTGATTTAGGTGCACACTCAAGGAAGGTGGTATTATTCTTGACTCCATACTGAATCACCTCTGCTGCATTTCGGTAAGCTACAATACAATAAAAAATCTAGATAAGAATGATCTGAAATAAGACATGTATTACATGGTTTACAAAAATAGCAAAAGCATGACAATCTCAGACTGATGATATCCGGGACTTAAAAAGGTGGAGACAAAAAACTAAAGGTATTGTCAACGACTTTCATGGCCGGAATCACTGGGTTGTTGTAGGTTTTTTCCTAGCTGTATGGCCATGATCTAGAGGCATTCTCTCCTGACGTTTCACCTGCATCTGTGGCAAGCATCCTCAGAGGTAGTGAGGTCTGTTTGAACTAGGAAAAAGGGTTTATATATCTGTGGAATGACCAGGGTGAGACAAAGGACTCTTGTCTGCTGGAGCTAGGTGTGAAAGAACAAGCCACGAGAATAAAGACGAAGATCCACCCAGAGGAAAAGTGTTCTTGCCATACATCAAGGGAACCACTGACCGCATAGTGAAGCTGATGAGGAAACACAACATACAAACTATCTACAGACCCACCAAGAAAATACAACAAATGCTACATTCAGCAAAGGACAAGAAGGATCCTCTCACTTCTGTGGGAGTCTACCTGTTGCATCCCAGTTCAAGAAACAAGACCATAAGATTAAATCCACCACACTGGACTGTAGGAAAAGCAATCCTTGTTTATTGATGAAAAATTGGTTACAAATGAAAGGTAAATTCAGAGTCAAAAAGCCACAGAAAAGCACAGTAGTCAGTAGAATCACTGAACTTGAGCAAAATTTCAGAAGCCACAAAACAAGAGCCAGGGACCTGTTAGTCTTTTACTAACCATGAACTTGATAAATACAAGCCTCTGGGATTACCGGCCATGAAACACAGGAATTCTGCCAAGGCACAGCCACAGTCCTAAACGTTGCTTGATCTAAAGAGGCACCCTGCAGGAGGCCTCTTAAACCAAAGAAGCTATTCTTTGAAACACCCCTTGACTTTTCCGTCTGGGCCTCTTTCTCCTGTAAGCGCTGTGACCTTTGTAGAAACTGGGAAATATTTCTGTCTCTAACTATCTGTTCTCTTCGGTCCTCATTAAAAACCCCAGGTGGAGAGATATCACGGCTAGTGATATCATGGCTAACTTCCAAAACATTTTCCTCCAGCTGTTGGGTTTCGTTTTCATCCCCGCTGACCTCTGCATCAACAACAGATTCCACACTGTCAGAGTCAGGGAGAGCTTGCTCAGTTGGAAAAACTATCAGAGAATCCAGTTCACACAAATCAGGATCAGGCTGAACCCCAACACTACTGTGTACCATGCAGCTGTGGACAAGTCTACATAGGGACCACCAAACGCAGCATCGCCCAAACACGCATCAAGGAACATGAAAGGCACTGCAGACTACTTCAAGCAGAGAAATCAGCCATAGCAGAGGACCTGATGAACCAACCTGGACACAGCATTTTATTTGAGAACACAGAAATGCTGCACCACTCTCACAACCAACATGTCAGACTACACAGAGAAGCCATTGAAATCCACAAGCATGTGGACAATTTCAACAGAAAGGAGGAAACCATGAAAATGAACAAAATATGGCTACCAGTATTAAAATACATGATAGTCGCTGCCCAAGCAACTGTGGCCTTGAATTGGAAAGACCATAGAAAGTGGGAAATTAAAACATGGTATGGAAAACTAGCAGACTTTATGCTCCAGGACTACATAATAATAAACTTAATAATAAACATAATAATAACATAAACATAATAATAAACATCTTTGAAAGAAGATCCAAATAGGCTGAATCGGGCTGAATTAAGAAGAATTGGTTTCAGAAATGGGGGATATTGATAGATAAAGTCAAAGGAAAGGGAAAATATAAAGAACTGAACCATTCTCTTTCTACGATTGTTCAAATAAAATAATATTTGAATGAAGGAAATTACTGTTCCCAGATGGTGGGGGGAAGGGGAGGAGTGCAAAATCGATGGACACAAGTTGGAGATAGAATAGGCAAGGTAGAATAGGCAAGGTTTAGAACACTAAGAAAATAATATTTGATATGTATTTTGAAATGGTGATAGATTGTGGTATTATTCTATCTGTCTCTACAATAAAAAAACATGTTGAAAAAAAAAGATCTCCAACTGTTACTCTGAAATTGTACAACAAATCATTTAGATAACCAGTTTACTGGGTATAGATAGGAATCAAGCAATGCTCATCACCATTAGCATCATAGAATCCAGAAACCACAGCCAGCACGGCCCACACAATAACCAGCCTCTGCAATAGCCTGACAATATCAGTCACAAATTATATGACCATGAATGGATCTTAGTGTGTGACCCCCATGATACCATTTGGAACCACTATCATCTTATGAGGAGACCATATTTAGACTTTCTTTTTTAAAAGAGCTCTGTTCAGTCCCGCAAACAAACATAATACACAAAAAAGGAAGAAAAGAATGCTGGAATTGCATGGGCACTTTACAGTAAACCACATGGAGCGTATGACTCATTTAAGAAGAATAACCATATGGTTTTTTTTCTAGCTCAGTATTTTGTCAGTTTTAAATACCTTTTAGGTTAAATCCTCGACACTGAGTCATAGGGTTTCCATGTCTTACATCTTGTCTTCGACTCCTCCTAAGACATTGATGAAAAAGAAAAGAGATGGCAGAATGTTATTTGAATATAGACGGAACACGCTCCCTGCAAGTTGCTTAGCTACCAGAAGAGCAAGGTTAATAAAGTCCATATAAATGCTATCCTTATTACTGTGTAATGTATATCTAGTTTCAGGGAAATCATGTTACCCCTCTATTCTGCCCTGGTTAGACCACACCTGGAATACTGTGTCCAATTCTGGGCACCACAATTGAAGAGAGATATTGACAAGCTGGAATGTGTCCAAAGGAGAGTGACTAAAATGATCAAGAGTTTGGAGAACAAGCCCTATGATGAGCAGCTTAAAGAGCTGGCCATGTTTAGCCTGAAGAAGAGAAGGATGAGAAGAGACATGATAGCCATGTATAAATATGTGAGAGGAAGGGAGCAAGTTTGTTTTCTGCTGCCCTGGAGATTAGCTATGGCTATGTCTGGTGTACGAGGTTTAGCCCTGAAATGGTTCCATTTGTTCCTCTGGGACTGGAGACAGAGGGTGGAGTGGTTCTGAGAGCTCCTGCCTTTGCTGTGGAGTTCCCCAGGGTGCTATCCTCTCACCCCTGTTATTTAACATCTACGTCCGGCCACTTGCTGGACTGGTGTGGAGCTTTGGCATAGAGTGCTACCAGTATGCAGATGATACCCAGCTACTCTTGCGTCTCGAACCTGGGACAACCGCGATTCCTGAGAACTTTAGGCTGTGTTTGGAAGCAGTGATGAGTTGGCTGCGAGCGAGCAGACTAAAAGTGAATCCTACAAAAATGGAGATCCTCTGGCCCGGTCAGCTGGGCCAGAATTAATCCAGTCTGCCTGATTTCGATGGGGAAGCTCTGGTTCCATCTGCCACTGTTAAAAGCCTTGGGGTTGTGTTGGACTCATCACTGACGATGGAGGCCCAGATCACTGCCATAAGTAAGCAGGCCTTTTTTCATCTTCGACAGGCAAGGAAATTGGCATCCTACCTTTCGGTAGAAGCATTGGCAACAGTAATCCACGCAACAGTCACCACGAGGTTGGACTATTGCAACCTTATATGCCGGCCTTCCAAAGTCAACAACCCAGAAGATTCGGATGGTCCAAAATGCAGCGGCCAGGCTGCTAGCAGGATCATCTATAAGATCCCATGTCACACCGATTCTGCAACAACTGCATTGGCTACCAATAGAACATCGGATCTCTTACAAGATACTGATCCTGACATTTAGAGCTCAAAATGGCCAAGGACCTTTATATCTTGGGGACCGCCTCATTCCTTTTCTCCATCAGTGGTCACCTCGATCCACCCAGGAAAATCTCCTATATATACCGGGCCCAAGGGAGGTACACCTGGAAGCTACAAGGCATAGAGCTTTTTTGACCTATGCTCCAATTCTGTGGAACTCATTGCCTCCATACATTAGAGCAATGTCGGAGTTGCGACCTTTTGTAAAGGCACTCAAGACTTGGCTGTTTGGTTGTGCATTTAAGTAATCAGATCTAATTTGCCAAATAGTCACTGTTGAATGTTTTTATGTTGAATGTTTTTATATTGTGTAAATGCTATTTTAGATTGTAAGTCGCTCGGAGCACCTTGGTGGAGAGCGACTAATTAAGAAATAAAGTGAAGTGAACTGAAGTGAATAAGAGTGTGTGCATGGCCCAAACCATATGTAGATGTGTGGGATGGTTGACAGTGGAGGTTGTTGAATTTGTATGTTATAAACAAATACATTCATTGCCCAAACATGTGCACACCCTAATCTCTCTTTAAATGAAAGAGGTGATTCTTTATTTTGAAAAGATAGAATATGTTGCTACTATTTTAGTAAGTTGTGTCTTCTGATTTGAGAATAAGCATGGCATATTGGTATCAGTGTAGGACTAGGACTCTGGGAGATCAGGGTTTGAATTCCTTCTTGGCCACAGAAACCCACTGGGTGATGTTGGGCAAGTAAATAATAATAACTTTATTTTCATAATCTGTCTCCATTTCCCCGAAGGGACTTGGGATGGCTTACATGGGGATGAGCCCGGACAAACATAGATTAAAGCACGACACAATAAAATCAAAAAGATAAAATAAACACATCATAATAACATAACACAACATCATAAAACAATCCATAGCTTGAACAGTAATAAATACTGAACTCAGAGGGCTAGGAACTTGTGCAATAGTTTCAGGACAGGGGCTGGTGGAAAAGTGTAAAAGCTGATAATAGTTAGGGCTGGAAGGAAGTCACACTCTCTCTGTCTCAGAGGAGGACAGTGGCAAGAAACCCCAGGATTTGTTCACTATAGGGTTGTCATAAATCAGAATTTTGAAGATTAACAAAAGAAATAATATTATATTTTTAAATTTTTTACTTTGAAGAAGCTCAAGCAGATTGAGGGTGAATCCAGCAAAGACGGAGATCCTATGGCTGGGTCGACCGGGCAGTGGGGACATCCAGCTGCCTACCCTGGATGGCGAGGCACTACGCCCATCATCATTGGTAAAGAGTCTGGGAGTCCTTTTGGACCCTCTGCTGACGATGGAGGCCCAGGTCTTCGCCGTTAGCAGAACTGCCTTTTTTCATCTGCGGCAGGCTAGACGGCTGGCCCCCTACCTGTCCAGGGATGACCTAGCTACAGTGATCCAGGCCACGGTCATCTCAAGACTGGAGTACTGTAATGCCCTCTACATTGGCCTTCCTCTGTCGGTGATCCGGAAGCTCAAGTTGGTACAAAATGCAGCTGCTCGGCTTCTTGTGGGAATTCCGATGAGATGCCACATAACACCAATCTTACTACACCTGCATTGGTTTCCAATTGAGCACCGGATCACTTTCAAAGTGATGGTACTCACCTTTAAGGCCTTGCATGGTCTGGGGCCGATGTATCTGAGGGACCGCCTCACCCCCTACCAACCCCAGAGATCCCTCCGTTCTGAGGACCAAGATCTATTGGAAGTCCCCAGTGTCAAGACCTTGCGTCTAACAGTAACCAGACGCAGAGCCTTCACAGCAGTGGCACCATCACTCTGGAATACTCTGCCACCTGAAGTCCGTGCCTTGCGGGACTTACCAGCTTTCCGCAGGGCATGTAAGACATACCTGTTTCGACAGGCTTTTGATGTTTGATATTGCTGTTTTTAAATTGTTTTAAATTGCTTTTAAATTTGTTAGATTTTAGCTATTCTTGTAAGCCGTTCCGAGCCCCAGGGGAGTGGCGGGATATGAGTCCAAATAATATATATATATATATATATATATATATATATATATATATTGGCAGTATTTGACAACCATATTTCCCTTGCCTCAATAAGACTCTTCTTTCTGTTATGTAAAAGCATTTTGTTTCAGAAGACCGCTTTTAGTAGGTTGCCCTTTGATCTTTAATGTCAAAACTTAAATGGGAGACTTTGATCTTTTCAAGACTGAAAGTAAGCATAGAATGAAAGTCATTCCTATGAATTACAGCATTGTGTATTTTGTTCCTTCAAATATTCCGAGAACATTTGGAGATGCCATTCTAAAAAAGCCCATAAAACTTGGGAAGATGTGCTGTGGGTGTATTTTGAAAACAAGAACATGATCAGATGCCTTGGGGTCTTTTTTGGAAATAAAATTATATTTATAATTACAATTTTATAAATTTATAATATTTTATTTAAATATTACATAAAATAGTATATTTTATATAATATTTTAATATTTTATAACTTATATATATAAATTTTAGTATCAATCTAAAAGAGCAAAGAAATAACAAAGCAGAGTTACTACTTTTGTCTAGACTTTGAGACTTGGCTCCTATTATGGATGGTGAGCTTTTTTAAGAGATAAAGGGACAACATTTCTTAAATATGAAAAACAAACTTCATTCTGTATGCATTTATCTCACAATACAAAACATGAAAAATAAACAAAACATGACAAATTTTTTTTTGCTAAGTGATGGAAATGTTAAAAAATAAAAATATCTACAGACATGTCTAAACTTTTGGCTAGACTTAGTTCACACTTCTGCTTACTTGGAAAATGGATATAAATTCTAAAAGTTAAAATTGCCAAATATCTTGTGTAGTAAGAAAGTGTTGACTTTTAGAGTACTATAGAAACATGCGGAAGTATGGTAACTATAGCAGTCAACCATAGTAATACTGTGCCTTCGCTGCTCCAAATTTCCAAGAATAAACTATTGTTTTTATGGGTCTTTAAGTCACTTCTGACCCATCGTGACCTTAAGATGAACCTATCAGATGGTTTTCTTGGCAAGATTATGCTCAGAGAGGGGTTGTCATTGCCTTCTTGTTAGTAGAGCTGAGTGTGACTTCCCAAGTGGGTTTCCACACCTAAATGAGGATTTGAACCTCTTGTCTCTTGGAGTAATGCAATGTTCAAACCACTAAACTATGGTGATACTTTAAAATAAACAACACCATTCTTTTGAGATACACTTTTGATTTGGTGTTTTAAGTACTTCCGAAGAACAGAACTAAAAAGAGTCAAATGTGTTCATGAGGCACTCCAATCATGAGCAAGAGCTGCACTTCTAGGTAAAATGTTACTGCTTGACAATAAATGCTCTGAATTCAACTTGGAGTTGGGAAACATTCGGTATGAGGAAGTGGCCAAAATTCTTGAACGTTGGACAGAACTTAAGGACAAAATTGGGCACCGTCATTACAAGCAATATATTTACCTACATAACTCTTTCAGGGGCAAGAAAAGAAGAAGCAAACCATTTATACTTTTTGCCTTAATGGGGTAAAATATGATCAGATTTTAGAGATGCCAGAATGGCTCCTTCATTTCTCTCCTTCCATTGGAAGACTTTTAATACCAACAGGATTTTGAGAACTGACAGTTTTTCAAGAAAAGGGTTTTTAGCATGCTGTGCTGTTTTAATTGTACTGGTTTCAAAATCTGACTTTTAATATTTTTAATTGTATATTTTAATTGTTTTAATAGTTTTCTTACAAGTCCAGTTCCGCTTTAATGGCATTAACATGCTGTACAGTGTATTTGAACTATATTGTACTTCTTTCAATTTGTAAACCAGCTTGAGCCCCAAGATATTTAAACACTGGAGAATTAATGCAGTTTGACAGCACTTTAACTACCATGGCTCAATGCTATAGGATCATGGGAGTTTTAATTTTAAAAGGTTTTTAGTTTTCTCTACCAAAGAATGTTGGTGCCACAACAAACTACAAACTCCAGGAATCCATAGCATTGAGATATGGCAGTTAAAGTGTTATCAAACTGCATTTATTTTTTTTGTCATGTCAGGAGCGACCTGAGAAACTGCAAGTCGTTCCTGGTGTGAGAGAATTGGCCGTCTGCAAGGACGTTGCCCAGGGGACGCCCGGATGATTTTTGATGTTTTATCATCCTTGTGGAGGCTTCTCTCATGTCCCCGCATGAGGAGCTGGAGCTGATAGAGGGAGCTCATCCGCCTCTCCCCAGATTCGAACCTGCGACCTGTCGGTGTTCAGTCCTGTTGGCACAGGGGTTTAACCCACTGCGCCACCGGGGGCTCCCTATCAAACTGCATTATTATTATTATTATTATTATTATTATTATTATTATTATTATTACTATGTCATTCTCCATGACATGTGAGTGTGGAGAAGAGCAAACCACACACCACCTATTACAATGCGGTCTGAACCCTGCCACATGTAATGATGGAGAACCTTCTTACAGCAACACCAGAGGCACTCCGAGTGTACAACTACTGATCAAAGGACATTTCACAGAGTGCCAAGTTTGCAAACTTTGTGTTTTTTTGTTTTTAAAATACAATACAACTGTTTGGGTTGCTCATGATATGATAAATAAATTTCATTCTCAGCTTGCTATCTGCTTTATGTTGGAAATTCCTTAATCAAGGATGGCAAATATATGCCCCCCCCCCCCCGATGTTGTGGCACTACAAATCAAATCAAATTGATTTGATTTGGTTGTGGCACTACAGTGCCTCTCATCCAACATCAATGACTGTACTGACTATGCTTAATGAGAGTTGCAGTCCAATACCACCTGACTTTCCATATATCATTCCCTTCCCTAAACTAAGCACAATTAAAAAAAGGAAATCCCACTTGATGGAAAGTTCTCCTTTCCTGCAAAATATCTTCATTGTTGGCTTGTGCCATCAAATTGCTTACAACTTATGGTAACTCAAAAGTGAAGCTTTCATGGAGTTTTCTGGGGATGAGAGTGTGTGACTTGCCCAGATAAACTCAGTGGGTTTATATGGCCAGGCTGGGAACTGAACCCTGGTATCCAGAATCATAATCCAATGCTGAAACCAGTACGTGCACTGGTCTGATAATAAAAAAGAACAAGGCAGTGAAAATGGAGATGCTCGATCTCCAGATACACAGTAAAAGAAGCACAGCAGTTGTAACATTTTCCGTGAGGGGAATGCTGCCAATAAGCTATTCCATTAATTATTAGTAAATGAGCAGCTTGTCTTTTTGCTGGCAGTTATCCACGGAAAAGTCAGACCCTCCAAATGTGAAAAAGCATGAAATCTTCAAGTGCTAAAGCTGTTTTATTAATAAATTAATACTCTAGATAGCCAGACCTTGCCAAATATGTGTGTGTAGGACACATCCCAGGTAATTCAGAAATGATCAATAAAAGACTTTCTCTTCCAATATTTTATGACATGCCCAAAAATAGAAACAGAAGCTTCACATTTCTTTTTACAATTCTCACCAGTTCCCCCAATATTTATTCACCTTTTCCCGGTTGGGTAGAACCTGGAGCAGGAATTGCCATCCCAGGCACAGTAGGGGTCTCTGGCGAGGCAGCAGTCAGCGCAAGCCGTTCCGTATATATGACAGCGGTGCAAAGAAACCTGGGTGACCCCTTCATCCGAGCTTACATACAATTGTTGCTATTTAACAGGAAATTGAGAGAGATTTATTTCAGGTGCTGAGATTAGAAAAGGAAAGTTAGCCAGGATGCAACTAATGAAGGACGAAAGCTTTCCTATCCCTTCAGCATTAACAACGAAAGCAAAGGGTGAGCTACTGATGGGTGAAGAGCCAAAGTAAACAGAGGGATCTTTCGGGTTAATCTGCCTATAATATTATACCTTCCTGTTAGAAAATGCTTAACACATTTTAAACAGTGTGGGTCATTGTTTCATTCTGTCTGGAGGAGGGTGAAATTCAGCTTAGAGATCTGATATACTACGCCTTTTTCATATTTTATTTCCACCATCCCCAGCTAGAAATTTGGATAAGGCCCACAGATTTGAGAGACCTCCATTCTTCTGCACACAATCTTTGGCTTCTCTTTTACTTTTGTGGCAAGAGGGAATAGCCTTTGCGTCTTGAAGAAGGCTACAGCCTTAGTACAGAATGTATATAGTTGGAGCCATACCAGGAAGGGGAAGGGAGAGATGTGAGCAAAGAAAACAAGTATTTCACGGTTAGTCTGGCCAGTAAAGCTGTCTGGGAACTATGCCTAAGTCCCAGCTCAGCCCAACAAAGACTGAGTAAGTCTGGTTGCCTGGCCCAGGGTGTGTCAATCACACAGTTGCCTGAACTTGTAGAGTAGGCAACCAGGCCGTTGCCCATCACATTAAACAATTCCCTCAATTTTAGAGTTCTGCCTTCTTAAATCCTTATAGCTGTGAAAGTGACTATAATGACTCACACCACAATGACCATGTGAACATAGAAAGGGGAACCTACAAGCCACTGCAACATGGGTTGGGTCCAGATATGCAGTGCAATTCTATTGATATTTACATGAGAGTAAGTTCCATCAGGCCCGTAGCCAGGATTTCGTTTCGGGGGGGGGGGGGGGGGGGTTGGGGGGGCTGAGTTTCGAGGGGGCTGAGTCTGAGTGAAAGAGGGTCTAGCCTAGCAAACCTTTTGTATCATTACCCCAATACCCCCATGCATATGGGATATATTGAGTATGGTGATCAGATCATGATATGAATAAACATAACAGTTTAGAATAATGCACCAGTAAGGCCTTTTCGCGAACCACCATGAGAATTTCGGGGGGGGGGCTGAAGCCCCCTGAGCCCCCCCCCCCCGGCTACATGCCTGATTCCATTTATCTGAGTGGTTAGGATTGCATTATCCATTGCTTGGTCTGAGATCTCACTGAAGTCAAAATGGTAATGTATTGTCGAAGGCTTTCATGGCCGGAATCACTGGGTTGTTGTAGGTTTTTTTGGGCTGTATGGCTATGGTCTAGAGGCATTCTCTCCTGACGTTTCGCCTGCATCTATGGCAAGCATCCTCAGAGGTAGTGAGGTCTGTTGGAACTGCTCCAGCAGACAAGAGTCCTTTGTCGCACCCTGGTCATTCCACAGATTTTTCCTAGTTCCAACAGACCTCATTACCTCTGAGGATGCTTGCCATAGATGCAGGTGAAACGTCAGGAGAGAATGCCTCTAGACAAGGGCAATATAGCCCGAAAAAACCTACAACAACTCAAAAGGGTAAGTTAGGCATGGCTTATATGTCACTGATCTAAACAGACTCAAGTTCAACTATATTTATTAGGATAATTTTGTAAATATTTCATTTAAAATGGATAATTGTATCTTCAAAAATATTTATGTAATGTTCTTCTCTTTACCTTCTTAGATGAAATGGCCATCGTTGTTATTGGAGCATTATTCTGAAAGGAAAAAAAATCAAGAGAGTTAAGAATTCTTATTTTCTATTGCAGTTAGCCAAGATTATAACATCTTCCAATACATCAAATAATACTTCATTTTTTCTAGAAATACTTTCTTCACAGCTTCATAATTAGGTCTTTACCAATCATTGTCTGTGACAGCGCAAGTTTGTCTGAGCCACGTGTTTCTATCACTTGAGTTAAGCCCTTCAGTCCAAACACTTGCAAGTTCTAGATAATTCCCAATGAACAGCTCATAAAGAACCACCTCAGGAGTGAAGATAGCCAACTAATGCCTTCAAACCACCACTTTCTGTTTGCAACAAATCCTTGTATTCATGCTTTGAAGCTGATAGCGTATTTCATTTTATGTCAAACAGCTCGTATTTAATTAGCACATAAGCAGGATGAGGAGAATATCTGACATTTCCTGCATACAATGCATAATAGTGCTCATGGTTTCAGATAATCAATGCAAAATGTCAGTATTAAAAATTAAGTGTTGGTCCACTTGACATTTTGTTTGCATCCAGCATATTCAAAGGGCATACTGAGCTAGCTAGCACTTTCTTCTCACATACTTCTTCGACGATAAGTATGGATCAAGAAATCACAAAGCAGCATGCAGAAATGATAATTGGTGTCTTATGTAAAATTGCACCCTATTTTTAAAAAGAAATCCTGATAACACAAAATGGCATAAATCAGTGCGGGGGCCCATTGAATAATCACAATAGAAAAATGAAGTTATGGCAGATAAAGATCACTCTGACCAAAAGGTCATGAGTTCGAAGCCAGCCTGGGTTGGAGTGGGTTTCCAACCAATTGTGTAGCCTGTTGTCGATCTTTGCAACCCGAAAGACAGTTGCATCTGTCAAGTAGGAAAATTAGGTACCACCTTAAAGTGTGGGGAAGCTAAATTAACTAATTTATGAGGCCATAAAAAAGACTCCAGCAACAGCATGCGGGGAATGCGGAAGTACTTCATCAGTGTCGCAGATGGACGATGAAAGTGACAGCTCCCCTGGGCCAGAAAAAGTTAAATAGCCTCTGTGTATGTCTGTATATGTTGTAAGTCAAAATTGGCATTGAATGTTTGCCATATATGTGTACACTGTAATCTGCCCTGAGTCCCCTGCGGGGTGAGAAGGGAGTGATTAAATGCTGTAAATAAATAATAAAATAAATAACTTCTTGGGCCCCTTTTCCATTGTCCCATCACAAGAGTCCCATAATATGGCAGGATGGGAATTATGGAAATGGTAATTCTCTCTAAAATTTTCAAATGTGGACTATGGAATTGGACAAATTTATATTGCTTCAGAAATACAAAGACAGTTTTAAAGTATTTGGAAGAAGCTTCTCAGTACATAGATACTGCAGTCAAATAAAGTTCATGACGGACATGCAACTATTTTTCAAAAACAGGATAAACTGCAGTTAGACTTTCACTGCTATAATGGTAAAAAATAATGGGATCACAGTTGGGGCACTGTCAGTCCAATCTCATCTTGTTTTCCATCTGTGAAAGAGCTTATGGCAAGCAACGGCATTTCTTTGTTGTTCATTTGTTCAGTCGTTTCCGACTCTTTGTGACCTCATGGACCAGCCCACGCCAGAGCTCCCTGTCGGCCGTCACCACCCCCAGCTCCTTCAAGGTCAATCCAGTCACTTCAAGGATACCATCCATCCATCTTGCCCTTGGTCGGCCCCTCTTCCTTTTTCCTTCCATTTCCCCAGCATCATTGTCTTCTCTAAGCTTTCCTTTCTTCTCATGATGTGGCCAAAGTACTTCATCTTTGCCTCTAATATCCTTCCCTCCAATGAGCAGTCGGGCTTTATTTCCTGAAGTATGGACTGGTTGGATCTTCTGGCAGTACAAGGCACTCTCAGAACATTCCTCCAGCACCACAGTTCAAAAGCATCTATCTTCCTTTGCTCAGCCTTCCTTATGGTCCAGCTCTCAAAAATGTAGGTGACCGGGGAATACCATTGCTTTTACTATGCGTATCTTCATTGCCAGTGTGATGTCTCTACTCTTCACTATTTTATCGAGATTGGACATTGCTCTCCTCCCAAGAAGTAAGCGTCTCCTGATTTCCTGGCTGCAGTCTGCGTCTGCAGTAATCTTTGCACCTAGAAATACAAAGTCTGTCACGGCCTCCATGTTTTCGCCCTCTATTTCCCAGTTGTCAATCATTCTTGTTTCCATAATCTTGGATTTTTTTGATGTTTAGCTGCAACCCAGCTTTTGCACTTTCTTCTTTCACCTTGATTAAAAGGCTCCTCAGCTCCTCTTCGCTTTAGACCATTAAAGTGGTGTCATCTGCATATCTAAGGTTGTTAATGTTTCTTCCAGCAATTTTTACCCCAGCCTTGCATTTGTCAAGCCCTGTACATCGCATGATGTGTTCTGCATGCAAGTTGAATAGGTTGGGTGAGGGCTTATAGCTCCTAAATTACCCTCATCTACATAATGAAAGCTGGGAATAATTTTGCTCCCCCCCCCCCCCCCCGATGTTCCAAAAGTTCTAGACAACATAGTCAAGGACGAGGGAAGCTGGGAGATGCAGTTCAACAACATCTGGAAGACCACATGATTGTCCAACCCCAACCTTGAATAAAGGCAGGGTCTTTAAATGTGAAGCAGGTAACTTTGATTTATTTGAGTAGGGTAACAGGACTGCTCTTCTCATTTTTATGTTTAACTATAGAGGGATCTGGAAAAAAATGATTGACAAAGGCCACTCCATTCTATGGCTTTTCCTTCGTAAATTATTTGTTCGTTTTTGTAGTTATGATTGACTAAAGCCTATGATTTTCCAACACCAGTTTTTAAAAGTACAAGAAAAAAAGAAAAACCAAGGCAATTTTATTGTCGATGGTTTTCATGGCTGGAATCACTGGGTTGTTGTAGTTTTTTCCGGGCTACATGGCCATGTTCTAGGGGCAGTTTCTCCTGACGTTTCGCCTGCATCTATGGCAAACATCCTCAGAGGTAGTGAGGTTGGGACTACCTCTGAGGATGCTTGCCATAGATGCAGGCGAAATGTCAGAAGAAAATGCCTCTAGAACATGGCCATATAGCCCAGAAAAACCTACAACAACCCATGGCAATTTTACTTGAGAGCTGTACCTCAGCTTTTTGGATAATGAAAAAGTATGATAATCTGGCAAGCCACTGCAACTGATTGCAATGATGAGACAGCGAAAATATTTGCTTCTGGCAGCTGTTGCCAATGGAGGGATTGAAGAAGATGTACTTATAAAAATCCTTTAATTCAGGATGACAACATAAAAATCAGTTTAACTACTGTGTGAAAGATTTAAGCCACTCTTCCCTTTTACTTAGAAAATTCAAGTTATACAAAAAAAAAAGATACAGCACTACACATTTGATCATTTATCATTTGCCAACCTATTTTGGATCAAAGTGTTTTGACAGAGGAAGGATATGTCTGAGAAAGACCAACCTTAAACACTTCAAGTTCTTCTAAGATGAGTTCTCCCCTTGTTGAAGAGTTATTGGGCAGGACCACAACTTTCTGCACCGTACCATGGTCTGCAGTGGGGGGAAACAAAACAGAGTAAGCAATTGGGTCCATTGATGTTGACAGAATCCAAATAGATTGGAGCAAATGGAAATATTGCGGTAAGTACAGATTGGGTTGCTGTAAGTTTTTTGGGCTGCATGGCCATGTTCCAGAAGCATTCTCTCCTGATGTTTCACCTGTATCTATGGCAGGCATCCCCAGAGGTTGTGAAGTACAGATTGCTGTAGTAAAGTAGAGATTGCTTTATGCTTAGAATTTTCTTGGTTCATTTAAGGTTCCATTAGCAAGACTTAGGGGAGTAATGTATTGTCGAAGGCTTTCATGGCTGGAATCACTAGGTTCTTGTGGGTTTTTTCGGGCTATAGGGCCATGTTCTAGAGGCATCTCTCCTGACGTTTCGCCTGCATCTATGGTAAGCATCCTCAGAGGTAGTGAGGTCTGTTGGAATTAGGACAATGGGTTTATATATCTGTGGAATGGCTGGGGTGGGGCAAAGAGCTCTTCTCTGCTGGAGCTAGGTGTGAATGTTTCAACTGACCACCTTCATTAGCATTTGAAGGCCTGCCTGAGCCTGGGAAAATCTTTTGTTGAGAGGTGTTAAGATGTGCCTGGTTGTTTCCTCTCTGCTGTTTTGCTGTTGTAATTTTAGAGTTTTTTTTAATACTGGTAGCCAGATTTTGTTCATTTTCATGGTCTCTTCCTTTCTGTTGAAATTGTCCACATGCTTGTGGATTTCAATGGCTTCTCTATGTAGTCTGACATGGTGGTTGTTGGTGTGGTCCTTGCGTCATGTGATGGGATACATACTTAGGGGAGTCTCGAGGAGGGGAATGAACCTCCAAATAAAATATTTTGGTTCTTATATCATTATTTTCTGGATAGGCCAGAGATGGGGCTACATGAGCTTTAGCTTTGGGCCTGATTGTTGTGGATGCTGCCAATATGAAATGCAGTTCACCCACCTCTTCCCCCATGATCCCCAAACTGTGAAAACTGCCAAGAAGATTGATTTTATTATAAAATCCCCTGCCACGCATTGCTGTGGCCCAGTCTGTGTATATGTATTTTGTGTGTGTATATGTATATATATGTGTGTATATATATTTGTGAATATGTGTAAATATGTTGTTTTGTGCATGCATTGTAAAAAAATTCTTTTATAGTCTCTTGTGCAGTGTTTTTCAGTGTTTTTATAAGTGATGGTCACTTGTTGGCGTGATATATGTATTTTGTCCAAATGTGGTGTCTATTCTCCCAGTGGTTTTTTATTTATGTTAATCATAAATACATAGACAGTATTTTATTTATTTTTATAGGATGTCTTTAGCAGTGTTTCTATACTTTTTTAATGGCACTACCTCTTAAAGCAGTTCCTCATGTTGTGGTGACCCCCAACCATAATACTATTTTCATTGCTCCTTCATAACTGTAATTTTGCTAGTGTTTTGAATCATCATGTAAATATCTGATATGCAAGATGGATTTATGTTGAAAGTCTTCGACAATACATTGTATTTCAGTTGTTATAAATTGAACATAATTAAAGCATACTGATTAATCACAAAAACAATAAGTTTGGGGTGTATGGACAACGGATGATGGGGTTTGGAGTATCTTCAACTGATTCAGCTCAGACTTCCACAGACCACTAAGACCCCCGTTAATGACAGATCTGAACCAAACTTGGCACACAGAACCTTCATGGCCATCGGAAAATACTGGAGGGGTTTGGGAGGAATCCACAGTAAAATAATCCTAGTGTTGCAAGAGACCTCCAAAGGCCATCCAGTCCAACCTCCCTCTGCCATAAGGGAAAAACACAGCAAAACACTCCTGATAGATAGAATCATAGAATCAAAAAGTTGGAAGAGACCTCATGGGCCATCCAGTCCAACCCCCTGCCAAGAAGCAGGAATATTGCATTCAAATCACCCCTGACAAATGGCCATCCAGCCTCTGTTTAAAAGCTTCCAAAGAAGGAGCCTCCACCACACTCTCCGTATAATTAATAATAATACTATATAATAATAATAATTAAATAAGTATTCTTCTTCTTCTATCCTTTCTTCCTCCCTTCCTTCCTCTCTCCTTTCTCTTCCTTCCTTCCTTTCCTCTCCCATCCCTGCCTCCTTTCCTTTGCTTCCTCTTTCTTTCCTTCTACCTTTCTTTCCATTCCTATCCTTCTCTTCACCAGTCCTTTTCTTCCTGTCTTCTCTCCTTTCTTTCTCCTTCCTTCCTCCCTTCCTTTGTAAGGGGTTTGCATCCTCCCTTCACCCAACGGTCCTGAGTGAGGGGAGGGCGTGTGCAGCCACTCCGGCAGCCAGGCTTCCGTTTCAAACCTGTGCCAGGGCTTGCCCTCCGTCTCTCCTTTCTTCTTTCCCTCTTTCCTTTCCTCAATCTCTCCCCTCCTGAAAAGAAAGAGGAGTCTGCCTTCCGGCTTGGAAAGGGACTCCATGGCGAGGCAAGGCAGCCCCTTTCCCTCTCGATGGTTGGTGCCTCAGGCTTCTCGCACGCGTGCTGGGGAGAGGGACTTTTGAGCAGGCTGGGTTAAGTACTTTTGGGGGGGGGTATTTATTTCCCCTTCATTTTTAAAGATTTTTTTCTTTGGAAGACATAGATCAGATAAGAATGTGTTTTGCTGCCAAATTTGGTGCCAATTGGTCCAGGGGTTTTTGAGTTCTGTAAATAGCACAAACGAACATTACATTTTTATTTATATAGATGCATACTCATTTGCATGGTATTTCTTTTTGTGCTGGTGGATAAAGAATTTATGCTTTGAACATTTTTTTTCCTTCCCATTATTAGACTTTTTAAAAAATCAGAATTATAAGTCAGATTTGGATACATCTTGAGAAAACCTTACATAGCTTCTCTTGCCATATAGTTTTTTTTAAATAAAATGCTTTAAAATCAATATATACTCTATATCACTAGAAACCAAAGACACTCTGGACAACCTGAAAGAGATATGCACTCTTATCTACATGTACATTAGCCACTAATTTCCACAGAGATCTAAGACACAGCAAAATACTAGTTATATCAAGTAAATTATCCTAATTATTGGTAGGGGAATACATTGCTGAAGTTAATGTTTCGGCAATGATCCACAAGGGTTTCCAAGGGTACAGACAATAGAATCATAGAATCAAAGAGTTGGAAGAGACCTCATGGGCCATCCAGTCCAACCCCCTGCCAAGAAGCAGGAATATTGCATTCAAATCACCCCTGACAGATGGCCATCCAGCCTCTGTTTAAAAGCTTCTAAAGAAGGAGCCTCCACCACACTCCAGGGCAGTGAGTTCCACTGCTGAACGGCTCTCTCAGTCAGGAAGTTCTTCCTTGTGTTCAGATGGAATCTCCTCTCTTGTAGTTTGAAGCCATCTCTTGTAGTTTGAATATGTGGGAGGGTTACAATAGATTTAAGAACCGGCTAAAATACCACATTTGATGGAGCTACGTTTCAGTGGTAGGAGACTGCAATGTAGGCAGCTTACTTCATTTTCTGCCAGCACTTCATTGAGAATACATGTAGAAAAACTCTTTGATGTACTTCACTGAGGTACATGTATCTTGGAGATGGGACTCAAACCTAAACACAAAATTCATTTGTGTTTCATATGTACCTTATATGTACCAGAGCGAAGACAGAGGGGAGCAGAAAACATTTCCATCTTGTCTTTACTAATAATATAATATAGTATATTGTATATACTAGGCTTGGGCGGTTTCGTTTGTTAATTTCGTAATTCGTTATTCGTATTTAAATTAGCTTACGATCCAATATTGAGCCATGCAGGAATAGTGTGAGGAGTAAATTAGATTCGAAACAATTTTTTCAATTTATTTCGTAATTATTTTGTAATTATTTCGTAATTATTTCGTAATTATTTTCGCATGTCTGGTGCAAGTTTTATAGCTGTTTTATCACACCAACAGTCAACAACAGAGGGAGAGGGAAGCTTCAGAAGTTCCCCCTGTCCCATTTGGAGGGTTTTTTTAGCATATTGCGCAATTGCGTCTGCCATTAACGAATCGATTCATAATTTTACAAAATTTCTTATATTTCGAAATTTTTAAAATGAAAATTTCGGAATTATTAAAAAAAAACGAAACGCAAGGGCCCCCTAAAAACAAAACAAGTTTAGAACCAAATTTTTCCGTGGTTACCCAAGTCTAGTATATACATATATTTATAATATTATAATGTAATACAATATAATACTAGTAATAATAATTCAATATTATAATTATAATTATATATTTAATTACATGTAATATTACTAATAATATTACAATATAATGGTATAGTGCAATATAGTAATATATATTGATATTGTACTATGCTAATAATATAACATATTGTATGAAAATATATATTGTAAGCCGCTCTGAGTCCCCTTCGGGGTGAGAAGAGCGGCATATAAATGCCGTAAATAATAAATAAATAAATAAATATATGAAGGGGAATTTTATACAGTATTATGATGATTGTGATTATTTGCCTGAAACAAAATTTATGTTACCTGAACCAAAATTTATGTTACCTGTAGCAACCCTAGGGAAAATGCAAAGGGATGCTATTTTATGCAACTAAGGGACAATGCAAACCAAGCTCCTGGAAGACGGAACATGGACAATAAAAAAAGCTGATAGGAGAATCAAGTTATTTGAAATGTGGTGCTAGAGAAGACCATGCAGAACTCAATTATTTGTATTAGTAGTCCATAAATTTCTAAAAAAAACAAATAAATGAGTCCTAGAGCAAATCAAGTCAGAATTTTCTCTAGAAACCAAGATAGCTAACTTGAACTTGTTGTACTTTGGGCATATCATAAGAAGACATAAGTCACTGGAAAAGACTATATATAAGATAAAAAGAAAGGCCACATCATAGATGGGCAGACTCAATCAAGGAAGCCACTGTGTGCAGGATTTAAACAGACAGTGTGACTTGGAG